ACTTCACAATTGTGTTACTAACTTAACAACTGGAGCGATCCACTTAACAACTGTGGCAAGAAAGGTCGTAAAATAGGGCAAAACTCACTTCAGTGTCTCATTTAGCAACAGAAATTTTAGGCTCAGTTGTTATCGCAAGGACTACCTGTAAATAAATGTAAATACAATATAAATATGAATTTAAATATAATATAAATTTAAATGTAACATGTAATATATTATATCAATATATTTATACAATTTAAATTTAAATATCATAGGAATTTAAATATAATATAAATTTAAATATCATAGGAATTTAAATTTAATTTTTTCCCCCAGTTAATCATATTTCTTGCGCCTTGACCTTCATCTTGGGAATGGGTGCTTCACACATTCTCATCTTCTTTCAGAGATGGATATAGTACAAGAATTGAAGACCTAAATGCAATTTTATGCTGAATATCAAAGAATGTGTAACCCGGATAGAAACCTGAGCAGGAGGTTGGACTTGATGACCTCCAAGGTCCCTTCCAACTTATTATTATTATTACCACTGCTTGCAGAGAGACTGAACCGCACCAAAGACCACATTAGCCATTAAATGGAAGAAGAATTCATCAGAAAGTTGCAGTGGCAATGCTAAGGAATAATAGTAATTAATGTTTTCTCTGTGAGAGCGAGCAAAAAACCGAAACACGAGATCACATGGCAGTAGAAAAGGTCAAGGCGAGCAGTAGAAAAACAAAACAGCCTTGAGGTGAGAGCAAATAGGAAAGCAATTGCCTTAGCAATCATCTGAATTTTCAAGGGCCATGTAGATTAAAGACAAAAAGGTGAGGCGTGTTGGTTTAGATACTTCCTTTGACAAAATCGTTGAGTGGAGTGGAGTGGAGTGGAGTGGAATGGAATGGAATAGAATAGAATAGAATAGAATAAGGAATAGAATAGAATAGAATAGAATAGAATAGAATAGAATAGAAAATAGAATAGAATATAGAATAGAATAAGGAATAGAATAGAATAGAATAGAATAGAATAGAATAGAATAGAATAGAACAGAACAGTGGTGGCGAACCTATGGCACGCATGCCAGAGGCAGCACTTGGAGCCCTCTCTGTGGGCACGCGTGCCATCGCCCCAGCCCTGCCTCCCCCTGCGGCCCCCTCATCTCCCACAGCCCCCCTGGAGGAGAGTCGCCCCCAGGCGCGGCCTGCACGGAGCAGCGCAGCCAAGGACATAGCTGGGCAGCAGGGACAAGACTCTGCCCTCGCACTCCATCGCGTGCAGATGATGCTGAGGGGTGTGGGCGGAGGGCGTGGCTGCCATGGCGCTGCAGTGCTGCCTGGGTGATCTGCTACGGCGGGCCATTGAGGCAGTGCATGGCCCTGTGGGCAGGCGGAGCAGGGGGCGGGCGGGGCAGAGCAGGCAGGGTGGGAGGCAGGACGGGTGGCGGGTTTTGGGCACTCGGTCTCTAAAAGGTTCACCATCACTGGAATAGAATAAGGAATAGAATGGAACGGAACGGAACAGAACCGAATGCAGAATAGAGTAGAGTAGAGTAGAGTAGAGTAGACTAGAGCAGAACAGAGTAGAGTAGAGTAGAGTAGAGTAGAGTAGAGTAGAACAAAACAGAATGGAACAGAACAGACAAAATGGGATGGGATGGCATGGGATAGGAAAAATGGAATGGAAAAGAATAGAATTAGAATAGAAATATGGAGAAATAGGAATGGAATGGAATAGAAAATAATAGACTAGACTAGACTAGACTAGACTAGACTAGAGACTAGACTTGACTAGACTAACGACATTCTTTATTGGCCAAGTGTGACTGGACACACAAGGAATTTGATAGTTCTACAAATGCGGGAAAAAAGTCGAGAAAGGTGAAAAATAAGGTCCTTCTTATTGCAAAAAGCGTGAAGTCATTTGCTGTCGCCCAAGGATTTCCAGAAAGACAAGCATCACCATTGTTCTTATACTGTTAAAGGCAGTGCTTTTTTCTCCTCAAATTCTATTCATGATATCTCCGTGCTCCTCCGTAGCTCAACAGCACTTTTCCAGTTACAAGGTGGGGGGAAAAAAAATCTTTCTGCCTGGCTGTGACGATGCACATGTGGAGATTATATTATTAGATGCTGTTTCAAATGTATTTGAATCCTCTCGCAAGCCTGACATGAAGAATCGGCTTCTTGGGCAACAGGGGTGTGAGTTAGTGTGTTTAAAACAGGCTTTTTTTTTAAAAAAAGAAGAATGAATCAGCGCTTGCTATCATTCTGTACTGTACTAGAGGCCATCATTTCTGCGTTGAGTTCAATACGTTCCTGATATCAATGCAGCGCTTCTAGAAGAGAATTGATCCTGAGAAGTGATGACACTACGTTATATCGCACCAGTGAGGCCATGTTTGGAATAATGAGTCCAGTTCTGGTCACCAGGGTTCAAAAAAAAAAAATTGCTGAGACCCTACAGAGAATATGCAGAGAAGAGCAACAGTGATGGTAAGGGATCTGGAGGCTAAATCATGTGATGAACAGTTGAGGGAGAGAGCTATGTCTAGTGGGGATTACTCCCTATTTCACCTTTGCAACAGGAAATATTGAAATTAAAATCTTTATTTTGTTCATAACGGGATCTACCTAAAGGTATCATCGGGAGAATATACGGATATGACTGCTGCCTTGTGTGTCGGCAATTAATATGAGATTGCATTCTGCCTTACATGCTTGTTTTGAGGCATGAATTGATCCACAATTTTGTTGATACACAAAAAGTAGTTTTTTATGTATGCGTGCCTGCATGAAAACCCTCTCTGGTCTATCCTGCATCACTTTCCTAATCCATAAATTATTTGGTTCAATTTTCTTGTTCTGAGCAAGATGGATTATTTTTTAATTCACAACCCTCAAAACGTTATTGGGTGATATTCTCAGGGGGACCAGACTTTCACTCAATTGTCAGCATCTTTTTTTCTTTTCCCTTCTCTAGCCCTGTGCGGATCAAAATGAAATTCACATTTGCAGGTTGACAAATGCAGAACAATTTTGTCCCTTTGATGTTTTTATTCCAGACACTGCAAATACTCCATTTCTGTCACAATTGCCCTCTCCCCCAATGTAAAACCAGAAACTGGCTCCCCTCTCCCCAATATAAAAGCAGAAAGTGGTGCTATTTCCCCCTTGGAGAGAAGAATAAGCACCACCTTTCTTCAAAATAACACAACAACAACCTCAGCAACAAAGCAGGTTATGGCAAGGCAACGCTCCGGCGGAGAGCTTTTATACTCTACCCGTCCTCCCACCCCCCCGAGATCAACGCGCACTCCTATTGGGAAGCCTGTCTGAGTGACGGCGGAGCGGTTCAATCAAAGGACTTTTATGACGTAGCTCTCGCGCTGAGGGAGAAGCTTTGGCTTTTTCCCGCACTTTTAGCGGCGGGAATGGCGGCGGCGGTAGGTTTCTGA